ATTCGTTAAGCAATCATTATTCATGCCAAAAGTAAATAAAATTAAAAACTCTCATATTATCATAAATTAGCATTATACGTGGAATCTAAACTTTAAGCTCTTTTGAAAACTCTACAACTTATCGCAATTTCAATTGCTGTCTGTTCACTGATGATTATCACAATATTGAGTCATAGCTTATAGCTAAAGATACACTTCTGTCTAAGCTCTTGCATAATAAGTATCATGAATTGTTCAGGTGATAAAAAAAAAACTGTGACAAGCAAGCATCATTGCCAAACTGCCAACTGCAGTTGACATTTCGCGCAACTTTTGTGTAACATTTCACAGCTTTTATGCCACCTTTTGGGAGACTGTCACCTGTCACGAAATTTTCCACAGCCATCTGAAAGCATCACGAATATTTACCTTAACCTTTTTTTGCTATGTCACAGGTTAAGCGTTAGGATCTGCGGTATCCAGTTTGATATGACCCCAGAAAAAGAATTTTATCAATAACAAAACAGAACTGAAAAGAAAAGAAAGATTTCAACTCAGCAGAACAAGGCTCAACTTTCATGTTAAAACAAACACAATTATTTTGCATGTATGAATAATAATTTGTTAAAACCAATTACTTGATAAATACTGACAGTTATTAGTTAATAGCTGTGCCAAAATATTGTATTTGGAATTCGAAATTTCGTAATTCTTCCGGGTGAAACGACACCCATTATTCTGATCATTTCATTAAGCTTCCGCCTTTTCTAAACACAATAAAGTCATTTCGTAATCTGTTTTAAGAGTGACATGTCAATGACCACAGGGCATTAACTTCTATGCACATAATCATCTACATACATGCATACAGTACACACACATAGATGCATACATAGATACATACATAGGTATCATCCATATATTTGCCAGCTTAATTGAAAATCAAAGCCGCATAGAAGCGAGCCCGCAAGCCACAACTTGGGCTCATCGTCAACTTTGGAGCTTAATTAATTAGCAGCTAATTAAACGGTGCACATATTTATGCTGCTCTACTATCTCACTACTCTGTCTATATCTCTCTCTCTCTCTTTCTCTGTTTCTAATTGTGTGTCTCTGTTTCTCTCGCTCTCTCTGTTTCTATCTGTCTCTCTCTCGCTCTCTCTCTCTGTGAGCTGCTTTAAAATTAAGCATTCGCGTTGGCAATCGAGCGTGGTAAACGTGACGAGCGCTTTTGCAAAAGCTCATTGGCAACCCACCCAGCGGCTAATCTGTCGTCCATTCACTGCTACTACTTACCCACCTTTCCCTCTTTCCCCTTTCAGCGCATTTATCAGCCCTTACCTTTTTTTTGCCCGCTCACATCGCAAGTTGATTAATTAAATTGTTGACAATTTTAAAAGCTTTGCTCTTGTTGTTGTTGGCTCCTATTTTAAGAACACTCCACGTTTCTCATTATTCAGTGCTTAACATATTGCGCTCTCTCTCTTTCTCTCTCTCTCTCTCTCTGTTGGACTAGTTGTTTTTGCAATTTGTTGTGGTCTTATTGCCTTTGTGTCTCTGTGACAAATGCACTAGAAAATTGGCTACTTTTCCATTGGGAGTGAGAGTAAGTGAGAAAGCGAGCCGGAAAATGTGTGGGAAATCATCAATGAAAACCCAAGCACTCGTAACGGGTTTGAGCTGCTGCTGCACAGCATATTGTGGTTTTTATTTTTTTGTAAAAATTAAGTGAGGAGTTTGTGAATTTTGTAAGCATTTCAATGAGATATATTTTAAACTTTTCGAATAAAACTTTTATTAGGCCATCATTTGATGGTGAAATTGTGATAAGAAAAATTAAAGTTATTGTTAAGTCATGAATTGAAGGTGAAATTGTGATACGAAATTTCTGTGGCACTTAAGAGTTATCCAGTTATGTCTGTCTGAACAACATATTGATTAGGTTGCCTTGTTTTACATAGCCTAAATATGTGTAGGATATGTAAATCGAAATCAGTGCATCCAATATGTAGTCCAATTAAAAGTAATTTTATGATGCAACGTTTGCATAATCTCTTTTAATTATATTTACGAGCCCACGCCGCAAATGGTTTGTAAAAGTTAATGTTTATAATGTATTGCTGTCATACAAAACCACACAAAATACTCATTAATCCATCAACCTGCACTCAAATTTGATATATAAACTATGCACACTGGCAGAGATTGAGGAAGAAGTTGCGAGAGAGGTATCCATTTTAGGTGTGAGCGAATTTTAATTGAAACCGCAACAAAACAATTAAAACTAAGCTCAATTAAGTGCTTGAATAAAGGACACGCTCCAACTGTTTTTAGTGCCGGGTATAAACTTAGCTTTGACACCAAACTCAATTAAAATGTTGAATAAAAATTGCATATGTATGCGGCTAGGGCGAGAGAGGAGGGGAGGACTATCTTTAACTAACCATTATGTAGATCCCATCCGCACTCGATGTCTGATCTCTCCTCATGCGGTTGTGCTGCATAAATTAATAAACTTGATGGAGCAGCGAGTAGGGAGGAGGACGGGGGATGGGATGATGGGCCAAGGAATAGTTGGAGTTGAGGCTTTCATAAAAACTAAACGGGCATTCAGTGCTGAGTGGCGACACGTACGCAGAGAGTGACTGCAATTAAAATTTTAATGCTCCACCGGAAGCGGGCAAGGGAAAAGGAACTAAGAGAGAGAGAGAGAAAGCGAGAGAGAGAGAGAGAGAGAGAGAGAGGGACAGAGAGCAGGAGAGTATGTGCGAGAGAGACAGAGAGAGGGTGAGGGTGCCAGTCGTTTGTTGTTGTGGACGTAACACGGATGTCGGATTTTCAAGTGCTCAAATTTCAGCACAAACACGCTGACAGCTAAACACACACACACACTACTCATTTATATACACACACAGAGGCACAGCAACCGCTTCCGAAAGGCAACATCCTGCTGTGGGTATAAATAAATTGTGTAACATACTTTTATGTCTCGTTGCTGCTTCTTATACCCTGTGCCCAAAACCATAAAAGCTATATTCGGCCTGGCTAGTGGCGCAACCAATCTAAACTCATAACAAAATTCGCCCTGAACTCCCCTTATTTGTTTGTAACTCACCTTCTAATTTCTTCTAAAACCAGCGTTTTTCCTAATTCCAGGATACAATTTTCTAAAATCTAGACAAAATATGCCTAGTTTCTGGGATAATTTATAAATTTATATTATTAAATTTGGAATAACTTACGATTTTACGACTATTCGAACCCAAGAGCCTTCGTTCGAATAACAGCAGCTGTTCTCTAAATTATTAACCAAGAGAGAACATTTTAACATTCTAATATATATTTCTGAAAAATAGAAGAAAAAAAACCTTTCTAATTTTCAAACATTATTTTCTTTTATTAAGAAATTATTTGCAAAAATTATAAAAATAATCTTTCTAGAGTTCAGAGCGATTTTCGAAAGTTAATTACAATTTTTCTTTCTGAGAGTACATAAAAATCCTGGAAAACTAAGGACAGAGGATGGCGCAGTCGGTTATTGTGTGTCATTGCGGTGGCACCCTGCAGCGTACAGTCTGCGACAGGACTTTCGGTCAATGATAATATTTGTAAAGCGTTTAATGATGCATATGTGTTATCAGACAAATGTGCGTCTCTCTCTCTCTCTTTCTCCCTCGCCTCACTCTCTCCCTCTCGCTCCACCGACTACTCCAACGCACACGAAAAATCAAACGAGAATCATGAACAAGCTTTTGGCAATAGTAAGAAAAAGCGTATTTTACGCTTGTTCACATGCATACGGAGCGCCATTTGCCATTCGGAAACGTCAACACAGCGCATAACAATAGAAGCTTGACAGAGTTGCCAAGTGCATGTCATGCAAGTCATACAAAAAACCAATTTATTCGGCGCCTTCCCCAAAAGTTAGCACAACAAAAACCTTCAATTATTCAGTTTAAGAAATTCCCAAAAAATAACTTTTACCATATTTTACAAACTGCTAAGAGTGTCACACCCAAAAATTACATATATCAGTGTAGAAACTGTAAAGATGTCCTTTTGTTGTCCGCTTTAATGGGCGGAAATTCTGACCATAGCATTCCAGTTGGCTAAAAGAGTTCCAAACGTTGCCAAATTCTTGAGGCCCAACAAAAGTAATTGCAAAATTGTTGCTTTGCAGCATTTAAATTGTAATTTTGGCCAAGAATTTCATACAGTAAAATTCAATTATGTGCAAATTCCAGCTGCCAAGCCAGGCGTGCTGGCAACCCTGGCAAGCACACACACACACATCCATTACAGTTTGAGACGTGTGTGCATAAATCACAACAATTTTGCAGCAATTCAGTAAATATATAGAATGAATACATAATATAATTATGAGTTTGCTTTGTTTTTGCATCTGTGCGTGAGTAGTTATTTAAAACTGTTGCAAATTTACCAACATAACTGTTTGTTTTATTTTCTTATTGCTGTAATTATTATATTAAGCTGTCGTAATTGCTGCTGATTGCACTTACAGTTCATGTTTTGTTCGCCAACACTTGTAGTTGCTGCTGCTGTTGCTTCTGTTGCTGCTGCTGTTGATGTTGCTGGTGCTGTTGCTGCACTTGACAGTTGCACAGTTTGCCAACTGAATAAGCACAAATATCACATGCTGTGAGTTCATTGTTCACTTGCTTAAAAGTTTAACAGTAATTGACACTTCAAGTTTGGCGGACAGTAATCGATCCTAATCAACATGTAAGCTTGATAGTCCTGCGCTGATAGTTTGACATAGTTGAAGTTTACAGTGACTAAAAGTTCTGCGGTTGCATTACATTTCACGGTTAATTCAACTGCTTACATTTTGAAGATATTGACTATTAGGGTTAATCAATCGCATTTTGGTGCATTTTTCTGGCCTTTGCTAAAATCTGGACTCTTTACCCACAACAGTTAGTTAGCCGGGCTAAGCTTTAAGATTTCAGAGTCACAATGAAATGCATTAGCAATTAGACAAGTACAGTTTTAGAGTCACTTACTGATGGCTTAAAGCTCTTTATGAAAGTTATGCTTTATTATAATGATTCTTAAACACAATTTAAGTAACATTGCAATGGCTTTAAGCTAACGATCGATCTCACCAAACACAATATCCAGTGAACCAATGATGGCCACAATGTCGGCCAACAGCATCATTGGCGCCAGTTTGCTCATCAGCGCCAGATGCGCATAGGATGCTGGTCGAATCTTGCAGCGATAGGGTCGGGAACTGCCATCCGAGACGAGATAGACGCCAAACTCGCCCTTGGGCGATTCAATTGCCGTATAGGTTGCACCTGGCGGCACAGAATATCCCTGCGAGAAGTGCTTGAAATGATGTATCAGATCCTCCATGCCCGTTTTCATCTTGTGCCGTTGCGGCGGCATTATCTTCTTGTCATCGACCTTAACGTGGCCAGCCGGCATGCAGTTCAGGCACTGCTGTATAATTCTGCATGATTCGCGCATCTCGCGGACACGCACCAGATAGCGATCATAGCAGTCGCCCTGCGAACCGATGACCACATCGAAGTCCATATCCGCATAGGCATCGTAGGGCTGCTGCTTGCGCAGATCCCATTTGACGCCGGTGGCGCGAAGAACGGGTCCGGTGCACCCAAAGTTGAGGGCATCGTGGGCGGAGATGGTGCCGATGCCAATGTTGCGCATGCGCCAAATCCGATTATCCGTCACAACATCCTCGACCTCGTCGAGGCGTTCCTTGAATTGCTCGATGAAATTATACAGGTCATGGCCAAAGCCCAAGGGCATATCTTGAGCCACACCACCTGGTCTGATGTAGGCTGCATGCAGGCGAGCACCCGACAAACGCTCGGAGAACTCGTAAAGTTTCTCGCGCTCCTCAAAGAGCCAGAAGAGCGGAGTGATTGCACCACAGTCCAGCACAGAGGTGGCCACGGCCATCGTATGATTGGTGAGACGCATCAGCTCGGCGCACAGTGTTCGTATATATTTGGCCCGTGCCGGTATCTCAATATTGAGTAGCTTCTCCACGGCCAGGGCATAGGCCTGTTCGCAGGCCATGCACGACACATAGTCCAATCGATCGAAATAGGGCAGGGCCTGCGTGTAGGTCTTGTACTCGATGAGCTTCTCGGTGCCACGGTGCAGCAGACCGATGTGCGGATCCGCCGAGAGCACCGTCTCGTTGTCCAGCTCGAGGATCATGCGCAGCACTCCATGCGCAGCCGGATGTGCCGGACCGAAATTGACGAACTTGGTGCGAAATGTGCGATCCTGCGGTGGAAAGTAGCGACTCGACGGATTCGGACGCTGCTTCCACTCATCACCAATGGGCCACAGCACTTTGCCCTCGGATTCCTTCATGAACTCGGGATCCGGATACCAGTAGTGTGTGTCGCGTGGTTCATAAGGCTTACCAGGTGGACGCAGTTCATCCCAATTGATTTCGCTATTGGGCTGCAAATGATCCGGTCGCTCATTGCAACATACTTCGCTGGTCTCTGTGAATTGTTGCAAGCATAATTAGTGGCAGACCTTAGTCTTGGCAAAGCTCAAAACTTTCTTACTTTCCGAGTCACCCGTTGCAAAGTAACGCGGATTCATCCACTTGGGTATTGTGGGTCGCCTAAACTGATATGCACTCAATTTTAAATAATTTTCAGCAAAATCATGACGAAATGCATTGAAACGATTTATTTCCGATGGCGTGAATAGCTTTTCCGCAAGCTGGCGCAATTTATTCATTCGCGAGTGCATTTTTTAAGTAAAAATCTGTTTATTGAATTTGTTTAACTTGCAAGCAAATCTCACATCTGTAAAAGGTGTGTACAAATGTAAATGAGTTAACAATAATCTGGAACAATTTTAGAATTGAACTTTTGAACAAGGCACACTGTCTTTAGAATGTATATAAATAACTGACTCGATTAATCTAGAATTCTGTTCGACTATATCTGAGTACAGCATATAATTAGTATATTTGGGTATAACAAAAGAATTTCAAATTTAATGCGAACAAATATATTTATTGATGGCATACAAACTGAAATAAAAGATCCCTCAAAGTTCAGCTTTTGCAAATGGGTTAATATTTCCATTTACTTCCACTCTGCTTACAGATCTTCGATGATCATTATCACTTTGCCCATCACAAGGTGTCGAAGCGTTCCCTGGTGCCCGCCTCACATCACCAGACCCGCCTCGACTTGGACGAGCGCGTCCATTGGGCCAAGCAGCAGCGCGCCAAGTCGCGATCCAAGCGCGACTTCATCCGAATGCGTCCATCGCGCACCTCGTCGAGGGCCAAGTCTCTGGTGGATGCGGTGCCCTTCAATGATCCCAAGTGGGAACAGATGTGGTATCTGGTAAGCATTAATCTAAAACTTTTAGACGGATTCAATACTAAGATGGGTGCTTGACAGAATCGCGGCAGTGGCCTGGACATGAATGTGATACCCGCCTGGAAGCAGGGCATAACTGGCAAAGGTGTTGTGGTCACCATACTGGATGATGGCCTCGAATCCGATCATCCGGATATATTGCAAAACTATGTAAGTAATCTAAAGGCAATGTACGAAATAAATACCAATATAATATAATACATTATGTATATCATTTTATTGGTTAGAATTCTAAAAAGAATGGTAAATAAGAGGCAAAGATAATAAATAAGCAATACCATAACGAAAAAGATATTAGTTTAAAAAACTGACTCAACTTTGGCAATTTTGTCCTACTAGAAATTATAAATCCACGCTTAGATCGAATGTAGACTAAATATAAAGTTATTTCAGAGGTAAATCTATGACCATATAGGAGTTCATTTTACAAGGGCGCATTAACTTTTTCCATATTTTTGTATATAAATAATCAAATTGATAAGTGAACAGTTTGTTTCCGTAATCTTTGGCGTGCCAAAGAAATGTGTCGTTTTCAAATTAATAATTTTCAAATGGGAATTCCCAAAAAACAGGATCCGAAGGCGTCGTACGATGTGAACAGTCACGATGATGATCCGATGCCGCACTACGATATGACCGATTCGAATCGTCATGGAACCCGGTGTGCCGGCGAGGTGGCTGCCACGGCGAACAACTCGTTCTGTGCGGTGGGCATTGCGTATGGGGCAAGTGTGGGCGGTGTGCGGATGCTGGACGGGGATGTGACGGATGCTGTGGAGGCGCGTTCGCTCTCGCTCAATCCGCAGCACATTGACATCTATAGTGCGTCGTGGGGACCCGACGATGATGGCAAAACGGTGGATGGTCCCGGCGAATTGGCATCGCGTGCCTTCATTGAGGGCACAACGAAGGGACGTGGTGGCAAGGGCAGCATATTCATTTGGGCATCGGGCAACGGGGGCAGGGAGATGGACAATTGCAATTGCGATGGCTATACGAATTCTATATGGACACTGTCCATATCGAGTGCCACAGAGGAGGGACATGTGCCGTGGTATTCGGAGAAATGCAGCTCCACGCTGGCCACCACCTACAGCAGCGGCGGGCAGAGCGAGAAGCAGGTGGTCACCACAGATTTGCATCACTCATGCACCGTATCGCATACGGGCACCTCGGCCTCGGCACCGCTCGCCGCGGGCATTGCCGCCCTGGTGCTGCAATCGAACCAGAATCTAACCTGGCGCGATCTGCAGCACATTGTGGTGCGCACCGCTAAGCCGGCGAATCTCAAGGATTCCAGCTGGTCGCGCAACGGTGTGGGCCGACGTGTGAGCCATTCCTTTGGCTATGGTCTCATGGATGCCGCCGAAATGGTGCGCGTTGCCCGCAACTGGAAAATGGTGCCCGAACAGCAGCGTTGCGAGATCAATGCACCACACGTGGACAAGTAAGCAACACAACTGAATTAACCATTTCAAGAATAATACAAATAAAATACTAAACGAATGCAATTTGCCCATTTTAGAGTCATTCCACCTCGCACACACATCACTTTACAGCTGTCCGTCAATCACTGTCTCTCCGTCAACTATCTGGAGCATGTGCAGGCCAAGATTACGCTTACCTCACAGCGACGTGGCGATATTCAGCTGTATCTCAAATCACCGGCGAATACTAAAGTCACGTTGCTAACCTCACGGTAAGTTAAGAAGAAGTTAATTGAAAGTGCTTCAAATTCTGATTCAATTTATTCATTTAAAACTTTGCTCAAGAAAAGATGTATTCTTAAAATCTAAGTCTCCAAAGTATTTAGAGTCTTAAAGTTCTATTCATAATACTCAGATAAAAATATGTTAGTCACGTAAACTATATAAACCTAAAGACAGCTGAAGTATTCAAAGTTATTAAGTCCTATTTAAAATACTCAGACAAAAGTTAGTCAAATAATTATGGTTATTTTAGTTGCTTTAAGAGCACAACATACGAATATTATTGATTAGTTAGCATACTGGAGACAGCATTAGGATAGACTCATTTTATAAGAAAGAAGTTCGAGCTGAGAAAAAGAAAATAATTCTAAAATGCAGCACAAATAAAGAGCAGTTAGAATAAAGAAGAAAGTCAAATGAGATAAATGTTAATTAGTAAAATGTAAACTCAGAGTAATTTGAATATAGTTGCAGCTTAGAGAGTTAAAATATATTAATTGATAATGCATATTAAATCGGTATTTCTGCAGATGAGATTGATTGTATCGTTTAAATATGAATAAGTATTCCAGAGTGTAGTAGAGCGGAGTACGATGCCAGTGAAAGTGTTTGTAGGCAGAGTTCTAGACTAAACTAGCTGGCAACTGCAATAAGGATATTAGTATTATATCCATTACCAATATTAATAATAACATTTAATTTCGGAACAGCATGCATGATAATTCCCGTTCCGGTTTCAATCAATGGCCCTTCATGTCTGTGCACACCTGGGGAGAATCGCCGCATGGCAACTGGCAGCTGGAAATCCACAACGAGGGGCGATATATGGGTAGGTTTTACAATCAAATATTAACTTGCAATCAGCAATCAACAACTACAACAACAACCAAAAACCCCAAATCAATTTTGACATGCTGCGATTTCTGTGTTGGAACTGTGTACTATTACTAAACTCATCTAAACTTATCACATCGCTCACACTAACCATCTCTTACACAACCATTCACAACCAAACTAACCACAACTCAGGCCACGCCCTCTTGCGTGAGTGGTCGTTGATATTCTATGGAACAACGCTCACAATTGATCCCAATGATCCCATATCGGTGCCAAGAGCAAGCAGCGCCGAGCAGGCAACCACACCCAATTCCAGTGGGAACGGAAGTGGAAGTGGGAGTGGAGCGGGAAGCACCACAAGCAATTTGCATCAGATCTATTCACCGCAATATCCTCGCATATCGCCCAACAATTTCGCCAATTCGCCGGCAGGTGGCGCCAAATTGGCACTGGGCAAGATGCCGCCAAATAAATCGAGTTTTGTGACCAACAATCCATTGCTAATGCTGCCGCCTCCGCCACCGCCTTCGCCCAAACAGGGCTATCAGCAAATATCCGCCACATATGGCGTTATATTGGGCAAACCCAGCAACAACAACAATAACAACGGTAATAATAAGGGCAACAACAACAAGGGAAATAACAAGGGCAACAACAACAAGGGAAATAAGGCCAACAAGGCGAATGAGGGAAAATTAAATAAAAAGGAGCAAACTACGCAGAGCAGCAGCAACAACGGCAACAACAACAGCAGCAGCAGCAGCAACAACAACAACAACAAGAATAAATACTATCGCATATCGCAGCAGCAAGGAGGAGGAGGAGGAGGTGGTGGAGGAGGTGGTGGCAAGTCCAAGGGTCAGTCAAATAATTTGCAAACGCAACGCCCCAAAGTCAGTTCCAGTGAAAAGTTCTACGATGAGAAAACGCGCAAGGTTATTGGCGAAATAAACAACAACAACAATAGCAATAGCAATAGCAACAGCAACAGCAACAACAACAACAGCAATCGTGGCAACAACTCAGCGGGACAACGTTTGCCAGTCAAGGCTGCCAAGCAGGTAAAGCAGGACAGCAGCCAGGACTCTCGCATACCCAAACTATTCGAGCATTACGAGAAGATTCAGGCCATATTTCCCGAACTGGAGCCATACGAGAGCAGCAGCATACCCAAATCCAACAATAATATGCAGCAACAGCAACAGCAACAGAAGCAGCAGCAGCAGCAACCAGGGCAGCCGCGCAAACAGGGCAAACAATTTGAGGTTGATGTGTTTAGGCCGACAGTGGGCAATGCCAACGTTGGCAATAGCCGACCGGGCAATACCAAGAAATCACCATCGGCGCCGCCGCCTCCATCGCAATTATTGCCAGTTTTTCCAGCATTTCCCGCATTAGCCGCCTTGCCACCTGCTCTGCCAGCGGGCGGCAGCAGCTTTTTGCCCGACCAGCGTATACTCAAAAAACAGCAGCTGCTAATGGCCGCCGCCGGTGTCCTGGCGCCACTGGACGATGATGTTAGCGCTGCAGATGAGGATGCAGACGATGATGAGGAGGGCGGTCTGCAACTAGCACCGAGCAGCTATCGCAAAAATGGTAGCCTGCAAATTGCATACCAATTTTTAGTAGCATTTCGAATTTTTGGTTCACACATTTTTAAGCAGTAGACCCAAAATAAAAATTTAATTTTAAATTCAACTTCAATTTGCACTTAAAACAAAATTTGATCTTCTTTTCTTCATTTGCCAAGTGCAAATCTAAAAATATTCAAAAGTAACTTATCACATACGTACTCTTTGTTTATATTATTTTAATTAAATTATTCTCAACATTTTCTTTTTTTGATTCGAATTATTTTTTCCAATTTATTATTTTTAATTATATAAATATTTATACAGCTTTAATAGGCTATAATTTAAGTTTTCACTGCAGAATTCTAAGCAATTTTAACTCTATTGCTTTTGTGAACGTTTCTTATGATTTTCTTTAAGAGCAGCTGACCGCCTTTCATCAATCAAACTATAAACAGCAAAACTGCAAACTGTAAAGGGCAAACTGCAAGTTTCAGCAGTTTGGTTGCCTGTCAGCATACGAAACAAAAAAAAAAAGAAGCAAAAAACATGAAATAAATACAGCACATTTTTCATTTGACTTTTGAGTTTTTGACGCTGCCTCAACTTGAAAATTGTGTTTAGCTGTTGTCACATCATTTGTTTTATTTGTAGCATCTGGCAGATTTATCGGTCCTTCACTTGCCCAGTTTGCCATTCATAAATCATAGTATAATCGCATTTAGCGCTGTTTGCCTTTTGTTTTGAAAGCTTTTCATTTTCATTTTGAATTTGATTTTCGATTTGATACATTAGCTGACTTGTCTAATCTCATTTGGTTGCCTTGCAGCGCAAATCACACAATGGGACATGATACTCTACGGCACCGAGGTGCCTGCCCAACCGGATGACCAGCCCCACGAGAACCAGCAGAGTCAATTCAATATGTATGGCAACGATTTGGCTCACAATGACATCGAGCACGATGCCAGCGGCCAATGGCGTAATATGCAACAGGTGAGTTCAATTACATCACAGTTGCATCCATATTCCCATTCAATGGAATATTCATTGTGACAATAATAGTTAGTTCATTGGCTTTAAAGCAACTACTGATTTCATTTTGTTGATAAGGCTTTAATATTAATGTATTTGAATATTGTGAGTGAGTCGCGTGGTGGATAATCAAGCGAGAACAGCAACAAGGATTACAGGAAGCATATAAGCAAAAATCGAAAAGAGAAGCAGAGCGAGAAGTATTGGCAAAAACATTTCGAGAAGCAAATCGAGAAGCATAGGGAGACTGTAATAAGAAGCAGAACGAGATGCTCAAAAGAAATACCATTTGTTTGTAATTACTTAATATAGCGAGTAGCATAGCGAGAAGCACAGCAAGTAACATAGCGAGAAGCATATCGAGAAGCATAGGGAGACTGTAATAAGAAGCATAACGAGATGCTCAAAAGAAATAACATTTGTTTGTAATTACTTAACATAGCGAGTAACATAGCGAGTAACATAGCGAGAAGCATAGCGAGAAGCATAGCGAGTAGCATAGCGGGAAGCGTAGCGAGAAGCGTAGTAAGACGCATACGGAGATGCATAGCGAGTAGCATAGCGAGAAGCATAGCGAGAAGCATAGCGAGAAGTATAGCGAGAAGTACAACGAGAAGCACAGCGAGAAGCATAGCGAGAAGTACAACGAGAAGCACAGCGAGAAGCATTGCGAGTAGCATAGCGAGTAGCATAGCGAGTAGCATAGCGAGAAGCATAGCGAGAAGCACATCGAGAAGCACAGCGACTAGCACAGCGAGAAGTACAGCGACAAGCACTGCGAGAAGCACAGCGACAAGCACAGCGAGAAGCACAGCGAGACTGTAATAAGAAGCATAAAAGATACTCAAAAAAATACCATTTGTTTGTAATTACTTAATATATTTTTTATTAAAATAATAAAAACAAATCCCAAAATAATGTTCCTTCAGATAAGAAGAAAAACGAGGAAAAAATAAAATCATAGCTTGCAAAATAGAAAAGATTTTAGAGCAAGACTCAGCGATAAGCGTAGATCAGCTCTCACCTCTGCTTTTCACAATAACATTGTTATGGTTTCTTGTGGCTCTTTTTTTTGTGGATTTTTTTTTCAAATTTTTGGTTTTGCAGTGCTTTGCCAACGACTTGCCAGAGAGCGATGTCGAGAACGACGAGGACATTAGTAATGTCCGTGTCCGTGTCCGTGTGCGAGTCCAACTGCGTCTACGCCAGCGTCGCGTGCTTGCATGCGGCTAGCTTAATCACTGATGATGCAAATTATGTATATATATATATATACATTATATATATGTGTGTATATATATATATGTATATGCATATATATTATTTAGTCATGCCACACTAGGCTTGTCGGCTTACTGGCTTTTTGGCAACGCTTTGCTAGCTGAATGAATGAATGAGCCATGTGTAGGTAGATTTATATTTTGAGTTACTGTTTGGCATGTTTTCGTTTTTTATTAATTTTCTGGTATTTTATTTTTTTTATTTTTCTCTCCCCCTTAGCACTTTCCTTGTCGTTTAGTTCCACTAACTATTTTGCCAGCTTAAAGGCAGCGCTGCTCATAAATTGCCCGGCTATTTAGTATAGGAATGTACTCGATTTGCAGTTTTGCTGTGGCAACCAAATTCAATTTTTGGCAAGCCACTGCGTCTTGGCCTGGCCAAGGCGGGCAATGTGCCAAGTTCATGTTGGCAGCAGAAGGCAGTTGCGTTTTCTTCTTTTTCTTCCCTCTTTGTTAGTTCCGTCAGCTGCAGTGGTGCATTAGGTGCTGCATTAGGTGCTGTCATATTCATTTTGCATGCACAGTTTGAGAGCCATCGCTGGCTGAAGTGTCGATGTGCTTTACACGTCAAGTGCACTCGTGGACTCACTTTTGGCATTAGCACACTGCCTGCTGGCAGGCAACGCTTCTTTTTGCTTACAAACTTCTCTGTAAGGGTCAGTCCCTTAACCTTTTATCGTCTATTGTTGCCTGAAACCCACTGCACATTTCCTATTTCGGCAGTTTGCCTTCAAATTGTTCAAGTGTGTGTGTTTTTGTATATGTGTGCGTTGCCACGAACTAAAAGTGCACTGACCTTTAGTTTTTTATGCTTCGCGCTGTCAGCAAACTTTTTGCATAACAAACTCATTTTTTTGCTACTGCTGCTGCTGCTGCTGCTAACACGCGACGTCGTCGCATGTGAAAGTACTGTTACGGTCAAAGTTACAGACAGAAATGCAGATAGCGCTAGAAAGAGACAAATACATTACATAGGCATAGGCATGGATATTTTGGTTGGGGCAACGATAAATAAACACTCACACTCAACTTTCCACACACACTTAACTATACTAATACCAAAAATGCCAGACAGTGCGGCAACATGCAATGAACCACAGCGGAAACCAGACTGAGCTCCACTTAAGCAATGCCACACACAGAATATAAAATGGTCGAAAAGCTACAAGACATTATATAGACATTCTTAAAGTAATGCGCTTTGGATTTACATTTTAAGAAAATTTCATTTAGACTTTAGATTTTAGCCAAATTTAATTCTAAAAATTCAAAATGAGAAAACTTTCTTAAATTATTCAATTTGTGACCACTTTAGATTTGAGCGTACCTTTTAAGCCTACATTTCAAGTTATAAAATTGTTAAATATTTTGTACTTCTCAAACAATTTTATTATTTAACTATTATTCATTACAGACTTAACATTATATTTGATTAAAATATTATTGCAACCCTAAAAAATGTACAAGTATTTTGTTTTAAGACCCTCGCAACCCGAAATATTGTGCAAATTGTTTGCTCAGACTGCAAAAACATTTGCTCACTTACCTGTTTCATATTCACAATTAATTATACTTTATAGGTGTTAATATTAATTAAATGTAATATTTTGTTCTCTTTTTGCTTTTGTGTAATTGCAGGTGGGCGAGGTGGGCATGACACAGGATCGAAGCAATCCTGCCGCGTGCCTCAAGTGGAACGATCAGAAATGTTTAGGTTTGTCTTTAATCTTTCTACTCATAACACAAGTCTTCTATCTAAACTTTAAACACGCCATCGCCACCAACAACAACAATGGCAACAACAACAAAAGCATTAGATAATTCAACAGAAAACTATTTTGCAAAACTGAGAGCTGTAAAAACAAAAATATGCGAACAGACTTCAATTCCAATTAAAACAAAAAACAAAAAAACAAAAAAAAAAAAAAAAAACAAATATAAAAGCATTTTGTGCTTAATTTGAGCATTTTCTAAGCTGACAAAAATCAATTGAACAATAGACAAGTAAGCAACAAAACCAACATGAATAATAAGCGTAGACAACAAAGCAAAACATGAAAAAAAAAACACTGCAAGTCCAAAAAATAATTTAACTAAAACTTTTTGTAGTTAAATTTAAATATAAGCGTAGCTATACACACAAGAGAAATATACATAATTAGTAGGCGTGGTAGCTAAGAGATGGAAAAAAAAAACACGAACAAACATGATAACAAAAACGAAGGTTGTTTCTTCCAATTCGGTTCGCACAAAAAAAAAAAAATAATAATAATAATAATAATGATTATATTTAATGTTTTAAGTTGAAATTATTTGTAATATTTTAATGAGAGTTTAGTTAAATTTGTTTGTTTTCGTTTGTTTTTCTTTTTTTACATACCTAAATATTTTTAATTCGTTTGCATTTAATGTAAGGGATACAAATTCCCTGTGCCAAAGTCATTTTATATGTTTTGCATGCATTGCGCCTTGGCCCTTACAGTTTCGAATGCATTGGCCGGCCACAATTGCTGTCCAAGTTGAAAATGCCCTGCAGAGTGCAGCGCAGCGACTTCTTTTCTTACAATATGCATATGCTTTGTACATGCCTATTTATGTACATATTTGTATATATGCATTTCAGATATTGCCAGGCCAGCCAAGTAGCTACAGTTTGGGCAGCACTTCCTGCTTATTTTTCTTTTGTATCTCTGCAATATTTTCTTCATTTTTTTGTAATTATTCTCTTATGCCGCGCAAAGAAGAAAATTGTTCAACACTACAGTTTAGAGTTCATAGTAAAAGACTGTTTCTTAAATTTAAACGTATATCTTAATGAAATTATGCGAATAACTGAAATCGTAACGAAAAAAAAAAACAACAAAAAAAAAAACATTTAAAATTCGTAATTTAAAAGTAAATTGCATACAATTTTAGAGTTAAGGCGTCAAGGCAAAGCAAATGAATTTTTGTATTAAAAATGTAACTAAATAAAATCAAAAAACAAAAATAAAAGTAAAAGTAAAAGTAAACGAAAAACGAAATTCTAGGGTGTAGGGTATGACTACGTCTAGTTTTAAAGTAGGCAAGCAACCAATAATATATAATTCGAACAACAAAAACATAAATATATATATATATTTATATATATATATATAGAAACAGTTCCTGCAGTTTTGAAAAAAGTTGCAATATAACAAAGATAAACAAAAACAATTCAAGAAAAACAAAATCAAGAATTAGCTAATTTTCTAGTGAGTATTGAAAATAATATTAATGCAAAACCCATAAAAATTAAATCATAATAAAACAATGGCGCACAGAAATAAAAGTTTAAGAAAGCCAGAAGTAAGCAACAAACTTCTAGTCATACAGGTTTTTGTGCGACCCAATAATAAATGGAAATATTATTAAACAATAATTATAAACCAAACAAGTTATAAATATTTAAAATTTAATTAAATTCCATATCAAAGCAAAATCGAATCGTTTTACAACACACATAAACATATCTTTGTTACAATATTTGTTGTTCATCACTTTTTTGCCAATACATAATTACTTTGTTTATGGTGTCTAATTGGCTGTAGAGATGGGCCCGATTTGCGAAAGAGACTTCCACTGTTGGCCATATGAGAAATATGATTTCATTTTGCTTTCTTTTCGTACCCAGATGTGCCCATCTCTATTAAAAAGTCAAGTCTAATCGAAAAGAAAATCAAAACGCAACACGAGTGCAATAATTATTTGTAATTCTTTCTATTAACTGCAATAAGCAAAAACAATTACTGACAACGCACAGTTTATTCAGTTGTTTTCTTATTCAATTAGGTCACATATCATTGGATATAATTTCTTTAATTTGAACTCGGTACAAATTTTACTTTGACATTTGATGCGTTCTGTTGAAATGAATAATCATATCGTAAACAATAAATAAATCTAAAAATAAATATATATTAATTTGGTTAGCCATATTAATGATTTTAAAAATTAATTTTTTCTTTTGATTTATTTGTATTTGTTGTACTTAGCAAAACTCACTTGAAATTAAATTATTATAACTTAGCCATTTTATATGCCTAGTTGAAGCAAACTGAAAATCTTCTAGCTTATATCATAAATAGCAGCAATTATATATATATTTAAAATATATAACTAACCAATATTAAGCAAACAACATTTTTCCAAACAGTTTTTCATTAGTTTTACCAAATCTATTTTCTACTTGTGTTTCGATGAAATTATAAATCTCTCAGTGCTGGCTGCGGTACTTATGCTTAAACATTTTTCAAAAAGCCTAATACAAAATAATTAAAGCCAAATTAATATTAAGCGCATACTAAATATAAAATAAATAAGAACAAAGAAACTAAATTTACAAAAAAAAAAATAAAAAAATAAATAATAACAATAAAATCTGGTACTAGGGCCTGGGGTAGATATTAAAATTAAATTTAAAAACAATAACAATTGCAGTTTTGGAACAAAATACAAAATTTGTGCGAAAATTACACTTTTTAAATGTAAAAAAAGAAAATAGAAACAAAAATTTGAAATAAGAACAAAAAGAAAACTGAAATTATATAATTGTAAATGAGATTTGATGGCCGCTATTTAGAATCAACAATTTTTTATGTATGTTTTGTGTATATATATACTATATCTATCAATATAAATATCTGAGTAATAAAGAAATGCATTGAAAACGTATTCAACACAAATATTTACCTAAGAAAAGATTGAAACTTTTAATACAACAACAACAAAGATCTCTAAGCTGCGCAGCAAGTAAAATGTGGTCCAAAAACATTTTAGACAGTTCCAAAATTATTTTCCCACTCGTATGTCTCAAACGCAAGGTGAGTTTAGCAACAGCAACACATTATAAAATATAAAGTACATAAATAGTGTTGTGTAATTTTTGTTGATAACCCATTCCCAAAACATAATGCTAATGTGTTATTATTAACATTCTTATTGGTTTTCCTATATTCGTTCGTAAACTCTATTATCTAACATAATCTTAAAACAAATGCACACCACACACCCAATGTTCATCCCTATTCAGAATTGTTTGCTTTCCAACACTGGTTTCGGTACGCCACACATGCACATCCACCCAACTGACTTTCTTCCTTATTGTTTGAGCATGTTTTTTGGACTACTGCGCTTGCTTAAATACATAAATATATATGCATACATATTTGTATGTTGTTTTGCAATTTTTGTTGTTAATTGAAGAGTTTCAGCTAACCGACTTGACTGTTGCCTAAACCTTTTCATGTGCAAGAAAATCAAAGAAAAAAAAAACTGATGTAAACAATTGTATTTGAATTCTTTTGTTGCCTTTGTTTTGTATACACAAAGTTGATTCTTTCAATTTTTCTACTTAGCTATTTAGCTTTACTAACTTAACAATTATTTCAATTTTCCTTGCTCCATTTATCAACACTGTTTCGGAGGTAAATGGATTCACATCTCTGTAGCTGTAACTATCTAGTTTCTTATAACAAATTGCTATCGCTTATTATCTGAGCTAATTCTGTTCATTATTTGCTGCTCTCCACAGAGTGCCAAGAGCCGAGCTTCTTCTATCTGGATCTGTGCTACGATGAGTGTCCACAGCACACCTACCCCATAACAAATGCTGATGAGCTCGATGACGGCGTTACCCTTAGTGAACTGAGTGCTCCTGTGACTAGTACTTCATTGGATGTTGACAATGAGCTGCACAGCACTGGCAGCAGCAGCAGCGGCATCAGCAGCAGCTCCACCGACAAGGATGATCCACTGCAGGCAGCGGAACGTCGACGTCGAATCGAGGACGTTGAATCGAACATCTTATTGCTGACACCCCGGCAAAGTCGAATCTGCGCCAGCTGCGACAAGAGCTGTTTGCGCTGCTACGGTCCGAATGCCTCCCAGTGCAGCACCTGCTATCCGGGCAGCCAGCTGCGTCGGCTGCCCCAGACCAACGAGACCTTCTGCTATGCGTATGTTGTGCGCAGTACCGTTGTCGATATCTCAAGTCCCTCGAAAGCCCAGCAGATGCACGACAATTCGAATCTGATGCGGAGCATGCACTGGAGCATAGCACTCCTAATTATAGCGGTGATTGTGTCCCTGGTGGGCATGGGCGTTGCCGGCAACATGGTGTACCGTCGGCGAGTATCAAGAGAGGAGCGCTACACGCGAGTGGCACTCATTGCCGATGATGACAGCGATGAGGAGCAGAACGAGGAGTTGTTCAATGCGCACATAACTGCTCCGAGCGATGTTCTCGAGTATCACGATGAGCGCCAGCCCAATGAGCTGCCCAGTCAGGCAGATGATGAGGCTGAGTCTGAGGATGAGGAGCGCGCTCAGCTGGTGCCTGAGTAACCAGAATCCTATGTGATTAGTTCTAAGCAACATTTATATTTGGTTGCTACTCATGATCAGCTTAGGCAAAGATCAAAAATAATTTTCAATTTTTTGGTTTTTGTGTGTGAGCATTAGAAAAACATATCAACATTTAAGACAACTGCTGCGATTTATTTATGATATGCATTTAAATTATTCACATTATTGTATATTGTTTTTTCCAAAATGTATTATCCTAGTAATAAGAAATAAAGTTTCTAATTAAATATTTCATTATTATTATTATTGGTGTTTATTCAGGTAGCTTAAATATTGGTTTTGTGCAATGTCCGTCCGTCCATCCTTCACAGATCGGTATTTTTTACCTCCATCCACACTGTTTTGTGGCACCTGTTATCAGGTTACTCATTGGTATCAGAGTATTTCGCAGTCAAGGTTGACTAGTTTCGAGTGTTAATTTTCAAGTTTATTTATTTTATCAACCCGTGATTAAAGTTCTTCCTTCTAATAGATAGTTGTAATGCACTTACCTAGTATTTAACAGGCAGAAACAATCCAATTGAGTAAAACATAATAATAATTTAAGTGTTTCAAGGTTAAACAAGGGCTTCAGTAAAAAAGAGTAAAAAAATAATCCAATTGAACATTTAAAAACAACAAAATTGCAACAATTTCGAGTACTATATGTAATTTCAACAGATAATTAAATTTGGCTCTCTCTCGAAATCAGCTGACCAATGATTTTTAATACAGTATTATAGTATTTTCGAGAGACTCATTATCTGGTTGCTTATCAGTTTTGGCATAGAGTGCATCTTCAACAGTGAATAGAATTATTGACAATGGTCAAGAGCTTTATTTGTGTAGCTAATTTACGCTCATTGCTCATGGAGAGGCTATAAAAGAGCGGTGCTGGTACAGCTCATGCAATAGTTTACTCAAAATGCAATTCGGAATTACAAGTGCCGCGCTAATCCTCGCCTGCACTCTGTGGGCAGCTGTCGAAGGCTGCCAAAGCGTCGAGCAGCGTTTCAAGTTTGATAACAGCGACGTCTACCTGAGATTGAGACGTGGCACAAAGCTCCAGTATGAGCTGATGAAGGGCAGCCGCTCGTTGCAGCGGGTCACATTGGATAACTTCGAGAGCAGCGGTGATCTGGTGGCCACATCCACGGGCAGCTACAAGCTAAGCGATGGCATTACCACCATCGAGTTCTCCTTGGTGAAATCCACAAATGGACTGACGCATGTTCGTGTGGCACGCGATCAGGTATTGATGGGCACTCAGCCGAGGGATTGCCTGGCTCTGCAGATGGGTCGCGTTCATTGGTATGGCGGCGCCGAGCAGAAGCAGCATTATTGGCCCATCGAGCGGCAGGAATACACCAACTTCCCTTATGTGCCCAAGGAACTGGGCAACATGGGTGTTGCGGAACGCTACTGGCTTAATAGCGAGGGATTCTTCCTCTACGTGGACAACACAACGCCATTGTTCATTGATCAAAATGCTGCCGGAAGGGAGGATCAGTTGTGCATTAGTGCGTTGAGTGCTCTACCCTATGACACTCACTTGTCGTCGGCCAAGTTTAGCTACCATCTGGTCTTTGCCAAGGATGCTAAGGCGGCGCACATGTATGCGGTGCAGACAATGTTTGGCAAACCCACTGGACATCCGGATGAGCGTATGGTGCAGCATCCGGTTTGGTCTACTTGGGCACTGTACAAGGCTGAGATCACCGACAAGGTAGTCCGCGATTTTGCCAAGCAAATTCTGGATAATGGCTTTGAGAACAGTCAGCTGGAGATTGACGATGATTGGGAAGATTGCTATGGTGCTCTCACATTCCGTAAGAATAAGTTCCCGGATCCCAAGAAACTGACGGATGATCTGAAGGAGCTGGGCTTCCGCGTTACCCTCTGGATACATCCGTTCATCAACAACAACTGCACGGCCATCTACGAGACGGCCAAGAAGCAGGGATATCTGGTGATGAATCCCGCCGGCAACTCTGACACTCAGTGGTGGAACAGTGTGCCTAAGGATGCTGCCTATCTGGACTTTACCAAGGAGGCGGTGCGGGATTGGTTCAGCACACGGCTGAAGCGTCTCCAGACGGAGGATGGCATCGACAGCTTCAAGTTCGATGCCGGCGAGTCCAGTTGGGTGCCCACGGAGGCAGTGCTGCAGGGAGATGCGAATCTGACGCCACTGCAAATCACCACGGACTATGTGCGCACGGTGGGCGCCTTTGGGGATATGGTTGAGGTGCGCTCCGGCCAGAACACTCAGGATTTGCCCATCTTTGTGCGCATCGTGGACAAGGACTCCGAGTGGGGATGGAACAATGGTCTGGTTACGCTAATCACATCCCTGCTGCAGATGAATCTGAATGGCTATCCGTTTGTGCTGCCGGACATGATTGGCGGCAATGGCTACAATGAGAAGCCCCCAAGTAAGGAGCTCTTCTTGCGCTGGCTGCAGGCCAACGTTTTCATGCCCAGTCTGCAGTTCTCCTTTGTCCCCTGGACCTTTGACGCTGAGACCATCGAGATTAGCAAAACCTTCACAAAGCTGCATGCGGATTATACGCCGTACATTATGAAGATGTTCAAGCGTGCCACGGAAACTGGAGAGCCTGTGAATGCGCCACTCTGGTGGATTTCGCCCAATGATGCAGTTGCACAGAGCATCTACGATGGTAACGTTGACCCACATCTTGACCATCACTCTGTCCATTATGTGCTTAATTCTCCTTCTTCTTCTTCTTGCAGAGTTTTTGCTGGGTGATGACATTATTGCGGCACCTGTTATTGTGGAAGGCGCCACCAATCGAGACATTTATCTGCCCGCAGGCGACTGGACCGATGGCAACACCAAAGCCATCCATAAGGGTCCCGTATGGCTCATGGAGTACTCTGCACCGCTTAACACGTTGCCCTACTTTGTGCGCGTCGGCGCCCAGTTGGAGTAACTCTCAGTTGCTTTGCGCTTTTTAATATAATGCTTAATTCAATTTAACTTTGTCTATATATTTGCATTTAATAAAATTGTTCGTGGCATGTGCCTTTGAAATTAAAAATTAACTGAATTCGTCAAAATCATTAAATATTTTGGAAGGACATGATGGGTTAGAATCGCAAATACCAAATTTATAGAGCTGCATTCAAGGATTATGGACTTATCTAAGAACCCAAACACAAATTCTTGCTTTCTCGGAAGCTACCAGTAGTGGCGTCGTTCTTATGAAAACGAGCTCTCTTTCGGTCACATTGCAAAAGTTGAAAGGACCTGCGCTATAAAACTTCACTGAAAGCAACTGGTCCCTTGTACATTTTACACCACTACTTAAGATAAGCTCACTTAAAACTAGTTTATTTCAAACACAAAACATAAATTTGAATCACAAAGCAACGAAAAAAAAAAAAAAATTTAAACCCAAAAAATGATTAAATAAAATATTTGTAGACATCACAGATAATTTGGTTGAATTTCAATGTAACTAATGCATGCGAGAGCCTTCCGCGTGATTGGCAGGTTTATGATGATGCACCGCATGACTGGAGAGACCAACTAGAAAATCCTTGAGCAGGGGCTCCGGTGAGTCGCCGGAACCGGAAAAACTGAGCTCAGCGTCTGAGCGACGATAACGTCCATATTCACGCTCAAACTCAACAGCATCCTGGGTGAGCACGGTCTTCAAATTAAGTCCACTGAAATGAGGAATGCATTGCTGGAGATTGATTGATAGTTAAAGATGGAATAGCTTACTCACCCTTCTGACAGTTTCTGGTACTCCTCCTGCAAATTCTTCTCATACAGGGCCAGCTTCAAAGTGTGCACCTGCTTGGCACACCGCCGCCACTGTCTCTTGTACTGATCCTTGGCCTTGGACATGTCCTGGTACCGTACGTTCTGTACACGTATCTCGTTGAGCAACTGCTGCAGCTCCTGACCATTGCGGCTCTGCTGTCCCAGCTGCGCGATATGCAACTCCATGCGAAGGACGCGTTCTTTCAGCTGGCTTTTCTCCAGCGATAGCTTGGAGTTCTCCTCCTGCATTTGCAGTGTGCGACTCTCAAAATTCCGCAAGTGCTGCTCCAGCACGGCTATGTGCTGCTCCATCAGACTAAATTTGGACGCGTAATCTGATTCTTTGCCACAGTGGCTATTGAGCTTCCCCATCGGCTGCTGCTGCGTTATTCTAGGTTGCTGCTGTCCAGGATTATACCTAACATCCATATTGGTTACATGATGCGAGCACTTGGTGTGAACTTTAGCTGCGTCTCCTGATTTCGTTTGAGCATCAGTTTTCACTTGAGATCTATCCCTTTTAGCGCTAGAGCAAGGATTGCCGATGACATCTTGGTTTGAATGATTGATAGCAGTTGCTTTCGTTGTGCACTTCTTCAAGTGTATCTTTGCCTTCGCAGAAGACTCAAATTCAATCGAATCTGCATCAGGGGCTGCCTTCACGAATTGCATCTGGTTTAGGCGGTCATCATTGTTGGCCAAGTTCTGACTCTGTCGCAGGTTCTCAGCAATTGTTTCCTCCGCATCCAAAAAGTCTTGCAAAGATGATTTATGAACAGCTCTTTTCGCTGTCTTTTGAACTGAATTGTCTTCCTCAAGCTCTGTGGAATCCATCTCAGAAGTGAGCATAATTTCCACACGTTCTGTTCGAAGCTGTGTCAAATCTTTTACTCTGTTTGTCTTGGGCCTCAACTGTTTCGCCTGCCGTTTCACTTCTCTGGGATAAAATTGCGGCTTCTCTATGAAGCAACTGCCCACACTTGATTCTAATTCCGAATTACATTCAATATTTATTCTCTGTGTTAGGGGAGGGCAACTCTCTGCTGAGGTCTGTTCGCCGTTGTAGTTTGCACCAGGGTCCACTGTACATGTGGCATTAATATACATTTCCGTTCCCTGTAAGACTTTGGTCTGCTCCTTACTCACCTGCACCCAGCGAGCACATAGCGAGAGATCATTTTTTGACATGGCAGTCCTCGTGACTTTGGGTGCTTTTCTGGTTAACACTGTCTCACAAATTTTAGTTTCCGCTTGAGCTACATGCTTCGATTTATTTTTGCATTTATTTGGTGGGTTTTGTAGGAATTGTATCTGCTCCTCACTTTCTGTTACTGAATCCACATCTAACAATGGATCGACCACAATTCTCTTTCTTGGCTTTCTGACGATTTCGTCTGCATTAAGACTATCCACAGAAGGCATAAATCTATTTCGGGGCAATGCCTTAAGAGTATTTAACTCATTGGGTATTAGCTCGACGTCTTCTTTTCTTAAAGCATTCTTCTTATTCGGTTTAACGCTCAACGCTTCATTCTCAGATAGTTTCTTTATAGTTGTTGTTGTGGTTTTTCTAGTCTTTTTTACAATAAGTTTGCTATGGGTTGCCGCTAGACGGTTTGAGTCCATTTCATCCGACTCGTCAGAGAGAGATTTAAGTGTTATTAGTTCTTTTATCTCTTGAATAGCTTTAGGCTTGATTACTCGCCTATGCCCTTGCTTAGCCTCTTGAGGTGGTGGTAAAATCTCACTTTCCTTTTCTAATTGAGACCAGGAATCGTCATTATTACTGTCATCAATCTCATATTTATCAGCATTATTGAAAGTTGCCTTTCTTCTAATTTTAGGCATTTGCGACGGCTTGAGCTGCATTTGTTCCTGTACATTCACTGGCGTTGTAGTTTCATCCACCTTCAATTCAAGTTGATCATTATGTGAATCAATATATTCGGAATTATTGAAATTCTTTTCGTTTCTCGCTGTGTTTTGTATTGGTTGCCTTTCCACAAAAGCAACTGAGTTCGTTTTCAACTTCCTTGGCTTTTCCACAGTACCATAAGTGTCTGACATGTCAGAGTCTAAGCTAAGTTCTTCGGGTAAATCCACGAAGTCATCATCCTGTTCGTCTTCAGGCACACGTCTCGGCGACAGCACGCGAGTCATTTGATTTGAGGCATACACTTGATCATTGCAGAGTTGCTGCGCATCATCCTGAACCGGATTATTTGCCAATAGCCGAGTGAACTTTCTGCGACGTGTGGGAGATGACTCTGAGACGGACTCTTCCGAGGCAGACAACTCGGCGCCCACATTCAAGCTGTGCACTGAAGCAACTTCAGATGTATAATGCTTTTCGGCATTGGACTGCCAATTGGTCATGTTTTCTTGCCCCCGAGCATCAGGCACTTCGTGTATGAATGCCTTGCTGCCCACCGATTGCAAATCCAGCTGCTCCTTCTGCAGCTCCAGCTGCTGCTCGCCGGGCTGCTTGTCCTGCTGGCCACCTTTGACCTCCAGTACGTCAACCGTAAAGGTGAAGTCCATAATTGGCTTCAGCTCACGAGCACTGCCCAGGCGACCAAAGCGCTCAAAGGCAAAACTGCCTCTGTGCACATATTTCTGATTCTCGACAAAGTAATCATCCGATGGAAGTAATTTACCAAAGTCCATGCGATAGTTGGCTAAATGTAATAAAATATATTAAGTGAAATATAAGTGGAGGCAAGCATGTATTACTTACCTATGGATGTGCCATTAATGTACATATTAATTGGCAAATAGAATATACGCTGGAAATATAAACGTATGCTGCGCAGCGAGGACTTGAAACGCATCCCCAAAACATCACTGAGCGCATAGGAATCTGATTTGTTCAACTTTAGATCAATCTTCGTGACGTTGCCGACAAAATCGAACATTAGTTGAACGTTGGTCACCTTGTCTTCCTTGTCTTCCTTGCCGTTAAAGAGCGACCTGACAAACTCGTTGACGTTCTTGACCTGCTTGAATTGCAGCACCACCTCGATGATGTCACAATCGACCAGAGGATCATTGCCCACCTGCAGCAAACCCAATTGCACCAGCAATTGCACATAGATATTTGCCTAAAACGACATGTTAGTTAATTAAACAATAAATATATACATACAATATGAAACAAATATTAAACAAATACGAAATGATTTTCCGGACATTTTCTACTTTTGTGAGTGAAATTCTGTCTTGGAAATCTAATTTGAGTTTCAGTTTCTGAAATTGGTTCATTGTTTTATATATATATATTTATATATACAACGGCCTCCACTGACTCACCTGTGACTGTAACATGTTGGAGGTAATCGAATTTCCGGGCGACTGCAGCGGCGGCGTACGCGCCTGTTTTTCCTGCAGATAGAAAAAAAAACAAAAGAAGCAAATATAGATATATGGAAAAATTTTATAGGCGCATTCTCACTGCGTTGAACGCCATCAGATGCTTGAAATCCTTGGTGTGCAGCAGCGACTTTTTGATAATGGCAAGAAGCATGAGAACCTCAGGCTTATGGGAGCGAAACTCATTGTTAACGCAGATCAGCTTGTGCCAGAACATTTTCAGCTGAAGCGGACAATTGTTGCCCCCAACGCCGTGGATGGGCAAGCCACGCAGTGGCAGCAGCAGAGAGCCAATTGTCTTGCGCTCCGAGTTGTTGCAGGAGTAGAAGATGACCTTCACCGGACGATGGTCCGTCTTGATGCGCTTGATGCCGGCCATGTCACACTCCCAGATGCAGTTGCTATTGAAGACTATCGTTTCGGCTGTGCTAGAGGGTGTGCCCTCCACCTCGAAGTCGACCGTGTTGAGAGCAGCCGTCATGATGATCTGTTCCCTACGCTCCGCCTCTCTCATCTCACGGCCGTAGAAGTTGATGGCTATGGAATAATAGTGTTAAAGATTCCATTGACCATTTTCAGTTAAGGGATTCACCTTCTACGACATGTAGGACCACACAGTAGGTGTGTTCCATTGAGCTGGCGCTGCCACTGACGCTGACACTGCCTCGATGAGTAGCAGGCAATGGATCCGTCTGCCTCTTGGATTTGACCATGCTGCGACAAAACTAACATAAATAATTTGAAACCCAAAACAAAATACCTTCAACTGTGCACTGTCTGATTTGAATTTAACTGGTATCGGTGTGTTTTCTTCAAATCATAAATAATTCGTTCGCCCTTTTCCCGCACTTGTTATTTTTGTTCTCAGCTGAATAAAAGACCGGCTTACTTTGCTTTGCCTTAAGTGTAACCATGACAACGGTACTTTGGCACAATGAGTACTTTTCGGCGATAACGTTGCTGCTGCTATGATACTTATCGATCGTACTGGTATCGAATAAGCGAACTTTTGGCAGTTTGACTTTCTCAACAACACTTCCTTCAATTTTGTTCAGGAATTCAGCAATGTTAAAAATATATGACAGTAAAAATTTAAAATGTTTACCCACAGACGATAGACTAGTAAGATAAATATATATTCAATATCAGCTAATGCTTCGATTTATTGAAACGAATTGCTGATAAATCGATACTTTTGATAGGAGATTTAATTTAAATTAAAATACAAACAAAAAGACTCAATTCTCACGCTGCATTTGCATAAATGTTGCATTTTTTATTTTAAACATATTTCTGGCCGAAGTTAGTCATCCTTCGATTGATCCACTTCCGTCTCGTAGTGGCCATTCTGCTGTCGATGGTTCTTGAGCGCTGTGCCCTGAATGAATCGCTCGCCGCAAGTATTGCACTGATAAGGTCGTTCGCCCGTGTGGCGTCGGATGTGGAGGGTGAGGTCATTGGACTGGGTGAAGCTCTTGTCGCAGAAGGTGCACTTGTAGGGCCGTTCGCCGTTGTGGATGCGCATGTGCTGCTGCAGCTTGTATGAGCGAGCGAATCCCTTCTTACAGACGGTGCAGATGTGGGGCCGTTCGCCGGTGTGGGTGCGTCGATGGCACTGGAGATCGGAAGAGCGCGGAAAGGCCATGTCGCAGTAATCACACTTGAACGGCTTCTCGCCGGTGTGCCGACGTATGTGTATGATTAAATTGGAGGATGAGCTCACCGCCTTGCCGCAGAAGGCGCACAGAAAACTCTTCTGCTGCTTGGTAGCCGCTTTTGCCGATTTTGTTAACGCAGTTGCGCCAGCTGTGTGACACTTTTTCACATGGGCGGTGAGGCGATCCTTACGATTGTATTTACTGGGACACTGACCACACTGGAAGATGTGGCATTCAACGTTATCAATATCGGGCACGGTCTTGGGCATTGCTGTTTTTGTTGGCGACTCTTCGCTGCTGGGATGCTGCAGTTGGATGTGCTGCACCAGATTCGACTGCCACATAAACTTGTAGCTGCACTTAGAGCACTTAAACTGCTTCTCCGTGTTCTCGCACAGCACACGCCGATGATAGGCAATCAGATCGGGCGAGACGCTCTTGAAGATGCACAGATTGCAGCCGTCGGCGATACGCTCCAGACGATGCATGGCCTGCTGATGCTGATGCAGTTCAAACTTGCGCACACAGCGCAGCTGGCACATGCCGCACGTGTAATGCGCCGGAGTGCCGGCCGGCTTGGCTTCCTCATCCGTTTCGGAGTCGTCCAGGTGCAGCTCGTAGCCAAGCTGATTGGTGATCGAATAGTTGGCCATAGACTCAATCGGATGATGAGTGCCAACTGGCGACGATTGCAGATGCGAACGCAGTGCCGCAATGCTGCCAAAGGATAATTCACACACGCGACACTGGATGCACTTCGGACCATGCGGATGCCGGCTGGCGTTGAGCAGGGCCTCCGCATAGGGCAGCTGGTCAGCGCTGATGCCATGTCGCTCGATGTGCTGCAGCAGATTCGCCTCGCGATAGAAGCGTCGTGCGCACCAGCGACACCGATAGATGCTCGACTCCTTGGCATGCATCAGGGTGTGCCGTGTGAGATCCTTTTGCATTTTGAAGCTACGCTTGCACTCGACACAGTCGTAGCTAACCACGGGCAACATACGCAACTGAATGTCCACATTGGAGTCCTGTTCCACAGTCCCCCGCTCCTGATGCGCCACACTATTGTGCAGCTTCAGATTATCGCGCCAGCGAAAGCGCAATGGACACTTGCGACACAGGAAACGCCGCTGGGCATTGCGGCAGAGGGTGCTATAGTGATGCTCCAGCAGCTGCTCATTCACGAATCTCGCCTGGCAGTGGCTGCACACGTGCGTCGTCTGGTGCCACGTGTGCTGCTCCAGCTGGTGGGCATATAGCTGATGCTTCCGCATCACCTGCACCTGGCACAATTCACAGCTGTAACGGCGTTCCGTGCTACTCCGTTCGGTTTCTACTGCATAATCCGAATCCGTGTCCGTTTCGCTGCTGTCCAGGCTTAGTTCGATGCCCGCCTCGTTGGTTATCGAAACGAATCTTTCCAGCTCCAAGTCGTTGGTTAGATCACGCTGGATGCGCTTGATCAATGCCTGCTGATTCAGTGGCGTGCTCAGCTCCGGATAAAGAGCACGACAAATATTTGCGATGCCTCGCTCCTCGGCCAAACACAGCGTCAACTGATGGCTCGTCAAATGAGTTCGCAAATCGGAGATCTTTGTGTGCTGCGACAGGCAAATCATGCACTTGATCTGCTTGCAGCCATTGGGGCGACATAGCTGGTTCAATACCATCGGCATGCGCTGCAGCTGCTCACCGAGAGACGACGTCGGCTGCTCGCCGTGCATCCGCATGTGCGACTTAAGGCCATCCTTGCGATGAAACTTGCGATCGCAATGGGCGCATTCGAACTGCACCTGCGACTGATGCATGCGCTTGTGGCGCGTCAAATCCTTGGGCCAGATAAACACCTACAAGATATGTTTAGATATATAACAGGCTATTTACCAGGCTCAACTTAAGCTTCAGTTTACCTTATCGCACTCGCTGCACTGCAGCTTGCTCTTCTCCTGCTCCTGCTTCGTATCCGTTGGATGTTGCACCTGAATGTGCCGCTCGTAGTTGGAGTGCCAATAGAAGCGGTGACTGCAAAGTGGGCACTCGTACTTGGCATGCAGCTTGGCGCAGATGCGACGACGATGCTGTTGCAGCAGCGACTCGGCCACATAGCCCAATCCACAATCGGAGCAGACATGAGGCAGGCTGCCCGCTAGGTCTATGTGCTGGCTCTGCTGATGCTGGAGCAGCTGATCGAGACGGATTCTGCTCTCGCCACACACGGCACAGCTGTGCAGAATGGGCGCATCGCTCCACTCCTTGTCAGAGTCGTTGAAGTCCAGTTCCTGTCCGCTGTCCGTGCACGCATTGAAATATCTTCCATAAAGCTGTGCCTCAAAATCGCCTGCGATGCGTGCCCTGAGCTCCGACAGGCAGCCGGCGCCGTCATCATCGTAATAGGTGCGAAAGAAGGCAGACTGCTGCTGCGGATCAATGCCGGTATATCCATCACGATGCGTGAGTAAATGAGAGCGTAGGGCAGCCATGCTGCTGGGTTGGACTTTGCACAGGCAACATTGGATCTGGTGATGAGGTGCCTGCTGCTGCTCCGAACGCCGATGCTGCATATCCGGTTGCGCCCTGCAACATGCATGTTGCTGCAGATTCTGCAGCCAAATAAACTTGCCAGGACAATTCTCGCAGCTGTAACGCTTCAGCGGATTGAGACACTGCGTGCGCTTATGCTGTTCCAGCAGCTTGGCGCAAACAAAGCCAATTTGACAGATATTGCAGCGTTCCAAAAGAGTCTCACTTCTGTCCGTGTGCTCCTCGAGCGTGTGACCCATGAGTTGATGCTTCCGTGTAAAGCTGACATTGCAGCGCAGACATTGATATTTGCCAGTCAGCTCCCCTTCCTCCTCCTCATCCGAATCGCTGAGGCACTGCTCATAGCCGTAAGCATTCACAACGTCACAGTAATTCTCCAGTTGCTCGCGACCTTTGGCAATTTGCGTGCACACCTTTTCCTTTATTTGCTGCAAATCTAATTGGCTGCCAAACTGCTCTCGGATGACATCGTTGTCCAGGCTGAGATTCGACAATGTCTCAATGTGAACATGACTCGCCAGGTGCTCGCGCAACTCCCGAATGCGCTGGCAACTCAAGCCGCACAGTTTGCACTCCACACGCATGAATCTGCCGGGGCTGTAAAGACGCTCCGCGTAGCGCCACTCGTTGCTCCGTGGCAGTGTCTGTCTGTCTGTTGACACGTGCTTCTTGTGCGATCGCAGATGCGTCATGTACTTGTCCTTGCGCAGGAACTTCTTGCCGCAGTGCTCGCACACAAAACCCGCCTGCTCAAAGTGGATGCGCGCATGGCGCTGCATGTCGCGATACCAGGAGAATGTCTTGCCGCACACCTCGCACACATGCCGCCCGTCCTCGTTGGTGGTCGTCTCCCTCTTGGCCAGACGTGCGGGACGACCGCGTCCACGCTTAACAGTCAACGGCTTCACCTGCTCGGAACTGGTAAGCAAATTAATATTACTCTTATTTGGCGTATAACTAAATGATTTCTACGGCTTACGACTCATTTTCGCTGTCTGTGCTCAGTTTGGCTCGCCGTGCACTGCGCCGCAGCTGAGGGGTTTTGACCCTAATGTGATGGCTAGAAAATGGGGAAACATTAGCTACAGCTTACCCACAGCTCAGTACTTACTCCTTCACATTATCTTGACTGCTATCGCTATCAGTTGCCGGCTGACATTTTAAGGCCACCTGCTTCTCCTGCTCTTCCTCCAACTTAGCATCGACTAAGTCAGCCATGTCCGCATCTAGGTCAATGTCTGCTTCGATTTTGATGTGCTCTGTGCTTATATCGATGGGTGTTTCATCCAGGCACTGTGTCTGCAATCCGTTACGTAGCTGCAGCAACAGTTGCTCCTGCGTCTGGCGTACCTGCACCACAAATGCATAGGCAGCTTCCAGCTGGCTCAAGCATTGGCCGCACAAATGCTGTGGTAGCTTATCATCTGTATGCTCCAGCAGAGGCTGTAAAATGATGTTTATATAAATGAAATATACAAATATATATCTAAAACAGTTTTAAAACAAACATCGTTTTGTGTTAATTCGTGCAGCATGTCGCAAATACTTTTCTTTGCGTATTTTTCACTCCGCGTTGCCAATGCCAACAAGTTGTCATCTTGCAACGCACACGTGCGACAAATATTCGTCGGCAACATGTTTTTTTTTTAGATCTTTTTAAATACTTTTCGCTTAATGTAAATCATTACAATATGTGAAAAGATATGGCGAAACAAATAATGTAAAAACACATCATATCGATAAGACGAACATATCGATAGACATTTGGAACAGCTGTGCAGCGAAACAGCTGTTTTGAGTGGCAGTGTGTACACACTGAAATCTAACACTTTGTTTTGTGTACTTGGCAAATTGATTGACGTCTGTCGTTGCTCTATTGGAAACGGAGATTAGATTTTCCATTTCGAAATCGAGTAGTGCGATGACAAGAACGTGTAGAATCTGCGGTGGCGCAGATGGACGCTTCTGGATCGAGACGCCAATTGATAAATACGTGGAGAAAACATTCAATCACCTGCTGCTGGAGCTAACAAAACTCGAGGTGTGCACAATTCCTTCCCTCCCCCGTCAAATTGATATGGAAAGCATTTTTTGAATGAGTCGTTTTCAGGTCACTGTGGATCAAGCTGATAAGCTACCGCCATGGATCTGCCGCAACTGTGCGCACAGATTAGAAAATGCCTACGACTTTGTGCTGCAGGCGAGGGAAACTCACGAGCTTTGGCTGCACAAGATGACAACAGAATCTCTATCGGAGGACACCGAAACTGGGACGTTGGAGTGCTTGCGAGAGACACCCATCCAATTGCTGGAGATTGAGGGCGTCACAATTAAAATGGAGGAAGCAACCGAACCAGCCGTGCCACAAACAGATTCAGTCGGCTCGATTGATCCGCTAATTAAAAAGAGCCGAGAGGATGATGCCAGCAATAATGATGATGACGCTGATAATGACGATGATGATATTCCGCTCAAGCAGCGCCGGATTGCAAGCACAAAACTGCCGACGATGCACAAGTGCAATAAGTGCGACAAGGCCTTCAAATATGTAACGAATCTCTTCAGGCACAAGCGACGAGATCACTCTCCAGAGCGCAGCCAAACCAAAGAACAGGCAGCAGTGGAAAGTGAAAAGACTGATGGCATGAAACCGCTCTTAAACGATGTAATCAAGAGCTCCATTGCAACAACACACAGCAGCGAGGCAGAGTAAGTAAAATGTATATAATGATAATATTTATGGATCTATGTAAAATAATCATTTATGAAATTTTTAAGCTTGGAAAGCGAATTGGCGGATAATTACTACAAATGCGATCAATGCGACAAATCCTACAAGTACATAATGCTGCTGATCAGACACAAGCAGAAGACGCACGCTTCCAGCCAGTGTCCAGCAGAGCCCAAACCAATTAGAAGAAGTGGTTCGAGTGCAGAGCAAACTAATACTAAACAAGGTTCACCGCCTCAGCGCTCGAAACCGACCAACACAGATTCGCTTGTGCACAGCATCATCAAAGAGATCAAGTAAGTTAATGGTTTACTTAAATCGGTATCAATAGGTAATTAATTGATATCCCGAATGCACAGCTTACCCGATGAGGACGATGCAGACAGTTCCAGTGCCGACAATTACTACAAGTGCGACCAGTGTGACAAGTCGTATAAATACATTGTGAGTCTCATCAAGCACAAACACAACGAGCACAAGGAATACAGGGATTCCGATGAGGATGAAGATGGGGCAACGTCTTCCAGATATGCAGCAGATGCCACTGCTATGTCGAAACCGTCGCGCATTGATCGTCGCGTCAAAGGCTTCGATTTGAATCGCTGCCGGCCAAACGGTTCCAAAGAGATTCAGTGCATGATCTGTCTGCGCAGATTCATCAAGTTGCGCGAGTTGCGTGATCACCTGAAAGCCCATCCTAAAGACTTTACATTCGATGCTCATGGCGAGCCGATTGAGCGCATTGCCGAGGGATTCTATAAGACAGCCGTAGAATCCACAGTTGTGGGCCTCAAGCGACGGATCTTCAACGATCTCAAGGTTGGCATGCTCGGACGCTACTATTCTATAACAAATGAGGCAAGGTACGAGATGAATCTGGACAGCTCGGACACGGACAGCGAGGGCGAAGCGGATGTTGTGCAGCGGCATTCATATGCCTGCGAATTGTGCGACTCCGCCGATGCCGTCTGGCCACGCAAATATCAATTGCACGAGCATCATCGGCAGCAGCACACCTGGCTGGAGGCGCCGCACGTCTGCCAGCGCTGTGACTTCCGCTTCCTGAGCGCGCAGCTGCTCGAGCATCATACGCACAAGTTGTGCCAGAACACCCTGAAGCGCTTCATGTGCGACAAGTGTCCACAGCGCTTCTTTTGGCGACGCAATCTACGTGCGCATCTTGTCGAGCACAAAAACAAGGTAGTCAAATCGACATTTTGATTTCACAATATACACATATATTCATGGCCAACAGACCGTGTTGATAACCTCGTGTCTGTCTGTGTGTCAATTTATATTCCTTCAACTGAGAAACTATCTAGACAATAACTTTTCAAATTATAACCCAACTCACTTATGGCGAGGGCAATATGATTTTGATAGATTTGTATCAATATCGAAATTGTATTTAATATAACTGCAGTAGGATTCGCAATATAGATTTAATATCGAGTGCCTATATCAGAAATCTTACCAAAGTTCATTTAATACTTATAAAAAAAATCGTTGATCTCAAAATATTATATCCTGCATCTGCATAATTTCTGTAATTGTCATTAATATTTGTTAACCCGAAGCTAACTGTTATTAATTATCTTAAAATTTCTTCAAATACAGCAGGAGACGTATCCGTGTGATCAGTGCTCGCGCAGCTTTCAGGACAAGAGCGCCGTGACGAAGCACAAGCTGATGCACCACGATGTCCACAACGAGCTGTTGCCCTGTCGCTGGTGCACGCGCACCTTCTACCGGCCGGCGCTGTTGCACAAGCATGTGCAGCGTCACGGCTTTAGTGGAGAGGATCTGCCACTGGCAGAGACACTGCTGGCGGATGCCGCCAAGCCATCCGGTACGAAGACGATTGTCTGCAAACTTTGCGATATGCAGTTCATTAGCATTGGCGACCTGCGGCGACACAACTCGATGCAGGCGCACAGTGAGCAGGTGTCCAACTATATGATAAGCACCGAGGAGGGATTCGAGCTGCAGCTGGATGAAACGGACGAGAGTGATGAGGAGCCCACAAATACTGCTGCCAGCCGATCTTATCGATGCGATCTGTGCGAGATGACCTTCCTGCGAAGGCGCGACATGAGCGAACATCAGTATTCGCTGCACACCTTCGACAAGCTGCCACATTCCTGTAAGCATTGCATTTATAAGACAGTCGATAAGGTGGGTAAATGACTAACAAGTCTATGATATGGTAAAGATGATATTTAGTTAAAAATTTGGCCATTTCAGACCATGCTAGAGCACCACCTAAGCACACAGTGTCTTAACGAGGAGAAGAAATTCAAGTGCTCTCGTTGCGGCTACAAATTCATGTGGCGCGAAAATCTGGAGCAGCACATGAGCACTCTGCATCCAAAGTCATCATCTAGTCAGACGCCCGTTGCGGCGACAAAGCGGAGTAGACGTTTCCGATACCAGTGTCCACACTGCTGGCGCTCGTTTGTGGTGCAGCCCAGCCTGGACAAGCATATTCGGGACATGCATGTGGCGAAAAAGAATCCCGGCAAAAAGTATCTATGCTCGTTGTGCGGCCTGGAGTCGCTGACACCAAATAAGCTCAGCATACACATGCGGCGTCACAACGGCGAGAAGCCATTCAAATGTGATCTCTGCGACATGTCCTTCACCGTGCACTACGAGCTGAAGGTTCATCGCCGCAAGCATACCGGCGAGCGACCCTATCAGTGCACATTCTGTGCCAAGGATTTTGCCCGGCCGGATAAGCTAAGACGGCATGTTTACATGCATAGCGTTAAGCGTTAAATCTAAGTCAAAATCATCGAACCCATAACCAAATAAATACTTTGTATATTAAATTATTTCTATTCTATTTATATATTTCAGTCAGGTTTAATTATTACTGAAAGAAAGGGAAGCGAAAGCGTTTTCGAAAAGTTTAAGTAGTAGTTATTAGTTGCAAGTGTTTCTAATCGTCAAAGCTTCTTCCAGGCAATATTATTGACTGTTCTTTTTTTTTAAAGCTCTGAAAATACCGAAAACGGATAAGAAAAATTAACGATGTAACTAATAACACTTTCTAAACTCGAGCTATAAGAAATATCGAAATTTGGAAATTGTTAAAACGATATTTTACGGGACACTAAATGTAATTGTAGACCTTTTTCAACACTCGTAACTATCAACTGATGTTATGAGCAGAAAATCAACTTGCTTCCCGTTTTAATATCAACAATATGGACAAGCACAAGCACTCAAAGAAAGAAGACCGGATACCGGAAGCAGAAGTGGAGGAGAGGCCATTCGAGTCCGGAACGCAGTAAGCAGCAAACTTAACCGATAACATTGCTTAACGCGAATCCTTTCTAGCGGTACGAGCCTGAGCAGCTTGGAGCAGTGGCTGCCCTCTGGCTTTAACACAGACAATGCAGGGTTAAACTTTAATTTGAATTTTGATTTGCCGACCTCCTTGGTTATACCCCAATTAAGGTCCTCCCGTCCAAACAATCAACAGTCACCAGTTGTTAAGGAAACTTTCAATCATCCTGAGTCGCCAGCTCACGATCACAGTTTTAATTCCATGTCGCCCACTAATCATGACATTGTTGAATGCTTACCCACATCGGAGGACATCTGGAATTCATACGAGGATTATAAGAAGGGCGGGCCCCTTTGCTGGCCACTGAACCTGTCTGGCAATATACAATGCCAATACAACGAGAACATCCCAGTGATAGCGTACCCATCAGCATCTGAACCAGAAGAGTCGAACGCTAGCTATGATGATGAGCAGGAGCAGGCCGTCGCTTGGCTAATGGAGTCTGACGTGAAGGTCGAAAAGCCAGCAACTCGCAGAATGTCTTTTAATAAATCCTACAGTCATAATCATACCATGGAAGAAGAACGCGAATTGGCAACATTTTTTAAATTGAAGGCAATACAAATGCCACCAGAGAGACACATCGATACATATATGGAGCTGCTGCGCTTGGCCAGAACGGAGGAGGATCAAAAAATGCTTTATAATGCTCTGACATCCAAATGCAAAGCGACTCTAAGCGAAGAACATGTTGCATCACCTATGGAGCCGGAACTAGTTGAGGAATCAGCAGCTGAAGTTGGACATCTTTTAGATGTGGCACCAACGGTTGCCATAACTATTAATCATAAAGTGCAGCAAACCATGGATTCAGTTGCAGATATTGACGATATTGGCAAAACAATACAGCTGAAGAGCAAGCAGACTGAAATACAAAAGAGTCCACTTAAATGCCTACAGCAATTGTGCCAGGATGCATCCGTCGAGATACCAAGCAAAGTGAAATCAACAACTAATTCACCAGAAATAGACTCCACGCAAATCCATCACAGTAAGCAGTTGCATCTGCCAAGTGTGAGCACAGTTAGCCAGAAATCCCAAATTGCTAGCTCAGCAATTGACGAAGCGAAACAATCTAAAACCACGAATGGAAACCAATGGCAAAATAACTTCCAAGAAGTTATCGACCAGAATATGCCAGATCCTGCGAGTGCTACGCAATCGTTGGGACGATCCATGGATAGCAGTCGCATCACCGAAGCTACTGTCAACCTGGATGACCTGAAACGTTGCCTGCTAATGCCTCCATTGCCCTCCAATCCAGATCCACGACTCCAGCACCTACGCATCCTGCGTCCACCAACTCAGCGGAATGGCGAACACGTCAATCTCCAGATCGAAATGCTGAATGTGAATGCATATGCAACGATGGAGATGAATTGTGGCCTGGACCTAATGAAGCTGGCCTTGAAGGGGGCCAATGCTGTGTACAACAGCAACATTAAAGTGCTTCAGATGCACTTCGAGGACGGCCAGGCTGCTTGGATCTGGCACGATGGCAGCATACTTATCACCAATGTGCCCAGCAAAGCAATTCTTGCAAAGACTCAAAGCAATATTGTACGCAAGGTTCTCGATGAAAAGGTGCCAGCAGCACTGGTTCAGTGGAATGTTTTACATTCCCACACGGTACACGTTGCACAATTTCCCTGGGAGATTTGCATTGAGGAGTTCCGGCAATTGAGAACCTATCCGCTGGGCACGGCTGAGGGCCGCCATAAATTTGCCTACTATGTGGATAAGAGCTCATCAGGAGTCGCTGCCAAAGTCTTTGAGTCCGGTACCATCCATGTGTTTGCGATGAGTGCAGCGTTAGCTAATAGCATGTTGGAGAAGCTTTACCTGCTTACGGCCAAACATCGCAAGCCCAAGCCAAGGACTAGAATCGAATAGAAGCCATAATGGAACACTCCATATTCTACTATACAAAACCATAAATTTAATAACAGTTACACTTGTTAGATTTCAATATGAGTTCCTTTAGGTTCGTAACTTAAAAAAGTACTTAGATCGGCGCTAATCCGAGTTCAGAATTTATTTAAGTGCAAGAATTTATTGTATTTTTAGTGGCTTGTACCAGGCACTATAAAGAAACGGTTTCTACTACAGCCGTAGCAGCAAACACTTCGTGATCTAATACAGAAAATCGCCTCGAAAACTAAAATCGCCAAAACCCTAAATCGACACAAAAATATGTTGTCATTTTAATAATTAATATGAGTAACAAAAATTATAATTTAAAGAAACACCCTGGAAATATGAATCATATTTTTCTAAATTTTAGAATCCACTACCTTTAGTTTTACAAAATTACTCTCTGAAGAATAAGGTGAGGAACTCTTCTGTGCGTTTTTTTTCTTTCAGTGTTTACGATTTGCATATTTTTTGTACAAAAATGTTTGGACAATAACAGCAAAAAACTTTTAATCTTAATGAATTGTTTACATATTTGAATTTGGCGCCCTGTGAGGCATCATTTGAATAGCTTATTAGTTAGTTAGTTGTAATTAAGTATGCACATAATGTTAGGCTTAGTTTAAGTTGCAGCAGCAAGCGTTAGTAGCGCTCCATTGTATATGCTCTCTTTGTGTAGCGCTCTCTCCCTCTCACTCTCTCTCTCACACACTGTCTCTCTCACACTCTCCCTTCTCTCTCTCGATAAAGAGCGTTCGCTTATCTGCCGGCTGCTGCAGCTATTCAGTCGATCCGCTTTACTTACTCTTCTTGTGTTGTGAAAAGGCTCAGCGTTGAATTGTAGACTCCTAATATCCATTGATATTAAACTTTATAACGTTGCTGAAATAACTGTGTTTTTATTTCAAATAAAGCTATCGAAAATCTTATAGAGTCAAAAAATGCCAAGCAATAAGATAATCGGATAGCTTTATATGCAAATATTAGACTTAAAGCGACTATCTCAAGAACATTGCAAAGCGCATAAGCTTTCAGCAATTACAGTATTACATGCTCAGAGACAGAGCTTTTGCTCAGTCGGAATCAAGAATCTGAGAGCGTCACACGAGATCGCAGCTTACGTATTTATACAAAGCAATGTCGACTGTCAACGCACCCGGTTGGATTAATCAACAGATTTTTAGTGATCTACTTAAGCATAATCACAATGATTTTGAAAGTATCGAAAAGTTTGAGTGCAACGCAGCGATCAGTGGGGGTGAAAATTATTTGACAATCGTGCTGCGCATTGGCATTGAAATGCAGCTGAAAGGTGAGTCACCGATGAAAGAGAGCTGAATCCGATTTGTATTCGATTAAATATGTGTTTATCCGCAGATAAAAGCAGCAAAGAGATAAGTTATGTATTGAAAATTCCATTGGATAATGATCGTGGCGATGAGCACGATTTCCATGAATTTTTCGTGACGGAGTCTGACATGTATGATCGTCTCATACCCGAATTGGAGGAGCTTTATACCAGGCACACAAATCTCACGATTCGATTCAAGCCACAGCATCTTAAGTTCAGCAAAAACCCGCCCAAATCCGATTACATATTGATGGAGGATCTACGCCCCAAAGGCTATATCAATTTGGAGCGCATTTTGGGCTTGGGACAAACCGAACTCAAAGCAGTGCTGAAAAAATTGGCTCAATGGCACGCGGCATCCGCTCAAAGGGTGGCAGAGCTGGGAGACTACGAGGAAACATATCAGAAGAGCTACATGAGTCCCGAGTGCTATAAGTGGATAGAACATACAAATATAACATTCAATGTGCCATTTTTGGAGTGCCTGCAGCAGTACGAATTGGATCCGGGGCACCAGCAACTGATAGTAAGTAAAAATGAGCCTGATTTAAAATAAGAATATTCGATTGCTAAACTATCGGACCAAGTTCGAGTTGTGTAGTAAAGGAATAGTTAAATAGTTGGGTGTGGTTACATTAGATTAAAACCATACTTATCTCCAATATACATTTCAGACCAATTACACAGATCGCATGACAGACTTGTATATGGATTTTGGTCGCATTGATAAATCCGAATTTTGCGTGCTCAATCACGGCGATTTCTGGTGTAACAATTTCCTTTTCAAATTGAACTCTGGAGATATAGAGGACATATGTTTTGTGGACTTTCAACTACCGAAATATGGCACACCCGCTCAAGATTTATTCTGTCTATTGATGACGACACCAAACATACACATAAAGTTGGGCAAATTCGATGATTTCATAGAGCATTATCATCACGAGCTTGTGGCGCATCTGAACCTGCTAAAATATACCTCCAAAGTGCCCACACTGACGGAATTGCAAATGAATCTACGAAAAAATGGTCTGTGGGGTGCGTGTTTTAAACAAATTCATATTACGTAAATAGAATAATTGCTGATTCCATTATTTTGTTTTGACAATTGTCATACTCACAGCATTTGTATGCGCTCAGCGAATGCTGCCCGTAACACTTTACCCACCCAGCCCGGATTCCAACATTGGGAACTTCATGGGCGACTCGGAGACAGCAATGAACTTCAAGCGTCAAATGCTGTCGAATCCCAGCTATATCAAGCAAATTAAACTCATTCTACCCTGGCTCATTGAAAGGGGATACATAAACTGAATTGCGACACTGATATGCATATTTATAATTTATACTAATTTTAGTATGTTAAATACTTACGAATTGTAATTAATTATATGATAAAAAATTTGTGTTAAATAATTTTTGTTACTTATTTTTAATTCATAAATATAATCTAATGATTGAAGTTAAATAATACTTTAATAACTCATCCAATTAATCGTTCTATTTTTTTTTTATATTTAAATTCGTTGAGAGACTGTTTAAGAAGAGTGCAATTTTGGTTATTATTAAAGCTTTTTTGTTCGTAGAGAGCCCAAACTGATTTGTTTACACTTTTCAGTACCCTCTAGCAAAGAGAATAATATGAAATATTCATTTAATATCTCTTTGGCATTATGAGATGTAAAGAGCGCACTTAAAGAGTAACAAACCGTAAGAGCTTATCTACATTGGCGAGAAGACGGGAGAGTGTTAGACAGAGATGTTCATGAAAGAGTATCTACAATTTGTTTGTGAAGAGACTTCAGAAAAGCTTTCCTATTTGCTAGCAAAAGTTGTTTAAAAAGAGCAGCAATCTGTAGAGAGCCATTAAATGCTCATCTGCTAATGCCCAAACAAGAAAAAAATAGAAACACTCTTAAAACATCAAATAAAACTTATACAGCGGGACTACTCAGAAGTTTTTATGCTTAGGTTGTCCCTTCAGATGGAACTTATTCAAATTTTTCTTTGAAGTAGAGCGCAATATTTATGTTGATATATGACTAAGGCTCCATTCGAGCTTAATGCTTTAAACATGATGTTCTTCCAAGATGATTTGTTACTTCTGGTGGACTTTCAGTTGGGCAAATACGGTACAATATTTAGACTACTTCCTCTTGGCATTAACCAAATTGGAAGATAAACTGACTAAATTCGGTTACCATATCAAATTCTATCATGAAAATATTGTGGCAAACCTAAAGACCCTTAAGCATTCGAGAAATATACCCACGATATGCAATAACTTATCTGATGGAATCGAATCGTTATAATAACAGTAAATTGTAAATTATAAGTATGTATTTTATTGTATTTTAAAAGCAATCGAATCACGCCAATAAAAGAAAACCGCATATGAAAACCAATAATATCATTATTAAAAGATTTACATTCGTATAAATTTTAGATCAAAAATAAAAAGGTTAAGCATAGCAGACGATAGAATAAACGAATTAAATGCAAGTGATATTTAATTCAAATAAAAAATAATATTGTTAAGTTTTTTATTTACATGAATTTGAAAAAACACGTTATTTTTCAACATAAAGAAATAAAACCCCATTATAAAAATTATTACAATCAAAGTAAAATAATAATGGTCACAGGTTTTAAAATTTTTCTAAGTTGCATCTTAATTTTTTTGTAAAATTACAAGCCTAAATAACTTTGCAATGCGATAAAAAAAATAAGATTTTGTGATAAGTTTTATAACTACAATTGCTCTACAAGATTGTAGAACAGGAACACCATTAAATAATGATAATATCTCAATGATAGCTGAAAGCTGGAAGAGCTTTAGACTCATGCCGAAATAATTGTTTATAAACAGGTGACTTTCTTAACGATCCACACTGCTTTCACGAAGATCACATTGACTACTACTAAATTCTAAAGAGTTTTTAGCAATTATGTCGCCAAAAGCACCAGAAACAATATTTAATGCGAGTATTAAGCTACCGGAGTGGCTGAAGGCAGATCTTTTTGATAACGTGCTAAAAGATAGCTTTAAAGATTTCAAGGCAATAAAAGAGTTTAAGGCGGTGCCCGGCACAAACCCTGGCGATAATTATGCCACGGTTGTGCTCCAAATTAAAATAGTTGTGGAACTGAAAGGTAAGTGCAAGTGGAATTAATTGGGATTTGTACTAGAATTTAATCTATGCAGATAACACAACTGAATCCACTACGTTCATGCTGAAAATTCCACAACAGACGAAGGCATATCAAGAAGCCTTTGGGAAGAATACGTTTAGCATCTTTGATATGGAACGAGAGATGTTTACGATATATGTCCAAGAGTTTAAACAGCTTTATCGGAATATTGGCCTAGATATTGAGTTTGGAGCCAAGTGCTACAAGCTAGATATTCCATATGAACATGTACTGCTAGAGGATCTAAAGCGCAAAGGATTTCAACCCGCTAATCGTCAGGCAGGCCTCGATGAGGAGCATACCCTGGATGTGCTCACAAAACTGGCTCAGTGGCATGCAGCCTCGGCTGTCCGGGTAGCCACAATGGGTCCATATCCCAAACATATATCGGAGGGCTTTTTCAATGAGGATGGAAAAGACTTCATACGCAAAATGTCCGATGATAGATTAAAGTACTTGCTCAAGTCCTTTGCCACAATTGAAGGCCACGAAGCGTACTATGAGGATTTGATAAATATGGAGGGTCACATAACAGAAAATGTTTTGGATGTCGCCGCTGTTGATCCAAAAGAGTTCAATGTGTTGAATCACGGTGATTTCTGGCTGCCCAATTTAATGTTCCTCTATGATCCAAGCTCAGGCAAATTACTAGATTCCTATTTGGTCGACTATCAAATGTGTAAATATGGAAGCGTCGCCATTGACTTGCTTTATTTCCTGATATCCTCTCCCCAACTGGGGCTTAAAGTAAGCAAATTCGATTATTTTGTAAAGCAGTACTACGATCAGCTGATAAAACATCTGAAAATATTGAACTACACTAAAGCGCTACCCAGTCTTATTGATATACACAAAACTCTGCTGAAGGCTGGCATTTGGGGTACGTTTTATAGTTTTGTAAATCCAATCCTATTGTAGCAGATCTCTAATGATTCTCATTTTACAGGATTTTTGGCAGCTTGCGGTGTTATGGCTGGATGTTTGTTGGAACCCACTGAAATAGCCAGATTTGATAATTTATATGCCGAGACGCCCGAGGGAGATCAATTGAGAACTCTTTTATTTTGTAGCAAGGTCTACAAGGAGCATATTAAGGTTGTTCTTCCTTGGCTACAAAATCGCGGTGCTCTCCAATGTCGCATTAAAAGTAATAAGAAATAGATTCAAATAGAATTATTATACAAATAACTAAATCAGCCTGAAAATGATTTAATGTGTCTAGCACAACTTACAAAAATTTGATATAACTTCATAATGAATTAAGATTTTCATTTAATTCAATTTATTTTTTTGAGTTGTATCCACAAATTTCCAAAATTAAAAATTGGAAAACTTTTTCGATAATTTCATTAGCCCACAACCGATTCGACTGCGGCAACGAAATAACAATAAATGACGAAATTAAGATAACAATAAAAAGCTTGAAGAGCTTTAAGCTCATGCCAAGATTTTTGTACATATATAACCCGGTTAATTGTGAAAAGCTCAACAGATGTTCTATGGAAGGCACGCTGCCTACAACTGAATTTTCTGTGTTTATATTTTAAAGAGCATTAAGCGAGAATGTCGTCGAGCAATGAACAAACAAATGATGAGAAGATCAAACTGCCTGACTGGCTAAGGGCAGAACTATTTGAGAACTTACTGAAAGAAACTATTGAACATTTTAAGGCAATAAAAGCGTTTAAAGCGGTACCCGGAACAAAACCTGGCGATAATTACGCCACGGTTATGCTGCGAATCGAGTTGGAGGTGGAATTAAAAGGTGAGTCGTTGGAGTATACAATTGATAGAACAATTTTTATTTTACTTGTAATCTACACAGATAACACAACTAAATCCATAACGTACATGCTGAAAATTCCACATGTCTCGGAGGCATATCAAGATACCTTTGGAAAAGCCAAGCATAGTATATTTGATATTGAACGGGAAGTCTTCACTATATATGTAGAGGAGCTCAAGCAGATTTACCGGGATGTTGGCCTGCAGATTGAGTTTGGTGCCAAGTGCTATAAGTTGGACATTCCATATGAACATGTGCTGCTAGAGGATCTAAAACCTTTGGGCTTTCAACCTGTTAATCGTCAGGCAGGCCTCGATGAGGAGCATACCCTGGATGTGCTCACAAAACTGGCTCAGTGGCATGCAGCCTCGGCTGTCCGGGTAGCCACAATGGGTCCATATCCCAAACATGTATCGGAGGGCATTTTCAATGAGGATGGCAAGTGTCTGATAAGCAAATTGACCGACGGAGTGTTACCCTACGTGCTTAAGGCCTTAGAATCAATTGAGGGACATGAGGCGTACTATGAGGATTTGATAAATATGGAGGGTCACATAACAGAAAATGTTTTGGATGTCGCCGCTGTTGATCCAAAAGAGTTCAATGTGTTGAATCACGGTGATTTCTGGCTGCCCAATTTAATGTTCCTCTATGATCCAACATCAGGCAAATTACTAGATTCCTATTTGGTCGACTATCAAATGTGTAAATATGGAAGCGTCGCCATTGACTTGCTTTATTTCCTGATATCATCACCCAAACTGGAGCTGAAAGTAAATAAATTCGATTATTTTGTAAAGCAGTACTACGATCAGCTGATAAAACATCTAAAGCTATTGAATTACACTAAAAAGCTACCCGATCTAGCTGATATACACACAACACTTATACAGAAAGGCATTTGGGGTAAGTATTTGTTTACAGAACTCAATGAATTATTTACAGATAATAATATTTATCATTTACAGGGTATATGACGACTTTTGGTGTTTTGGCAGGCAGTGCGTTGGAACCTACTGAAACAGCTAGTTTTGATAATCTATTTGCCGATACGCCCGAGGGAGACGCATTTAGAACTCTTCTATATTCTGGTAAGGTCTACAAGGAACACGTCAAGGTTATCCTACCTTGGCTACAGAATCGGGGAGCTCTCCAGTCCCGCATTCGCAATGATAAGTAATCATTAATTATATTTCAACTTTGTTCAAATTCAAATTTTGTTTCTAAGAATTGTAATATAAATGTACTAAAAAGAATGCCTTAATAAAATTAAATTCATCAAAAAAATACTTGTATCTTCCGAAAAGGTTTTCAGTTGGTGAGTAATATTTTACACGCATAGGTTAATCCTGTAAACAGGCCTTACAGAATAGTATAGAAAAACCTATTAGAGATTGAGTCAACTAACATAGACTATCGTCGACTAAGCCCCCCAATT